TTATTCTCCCACGGTCACGATGGACAATTCCTGAAGACTGAGCTCCCTCCATTGTGCTAGTTCATTTTAACGAGTGAGGAACCACTACAAACAAACGCGTGTCTACGGAACGCGTTAGGAAATCCATGTCTTCGCAGGTTATGACGAATGTAACCTCTAGAGTCCCACAGTCCCGTCGCTGCGGTCTAATGGTACAAGAAAGTAGGTCGGTAGGTAGGCAGGCAGGTGGACAGACTGATAGGTGCATAGATGGACGGACAGCAGACTTATAAATAGACAGATGAATGGATAAACAGACTGAAAGACTGATAGATAGATAGATTTAAACATACATAGATAGAGAGATAGATAGATTGATGGGTGGATGGACAGATAAATAGATATATAGACAGACAGATAGATAGACTGATGGATGGATGAATAGATAGATTGTATTGTAATGTATTGTAATGTCGTATTATGTCATTATTATTCATTTCAGTCACTACAATCTATGTGCATAATTACACTATATTATTGTACACTGCCTTTTCGACCATCACGAAGCAATATGTTTCGGCCTTTTCGGCCATCACGAAGCAATATATGTTTCTACATTTGCCTTTGTTTTCCTGTTTTCTCTCCCTGTACTGGCCAGTTTTTACATCTGGGAGTAATCATATCTGGTATACCAGCTGCACACGATACAACAAGAGGAACTACCCATCACCACGGGACACATGGGAGCACAGACGAGGGCATAAGTTAAGAACGGAAGCACAGCAGTTTCGTCAGCAAATTTAGAGACACCTAAAGATGACCAGTGCTGTTCGAAACATTTTGTGTGAATATACCAGTGACTCAGAGGAAATTTTAAAACTTTTAAATGTTTTAAAAAAGCAACTTGCATGTGAGAAGGCTAACTAACAGGAATAAATAAGCGACGTCCAAAAGGATGCTACAATACAAAATTAATAACCAATTCGAAAAGCGGGGGAGGGCATGAGACGTAGTGTGCTTCGTGTGACGCAGGAGTTGAAATTTTAAAATATTTAGGTGAACTTAATGCGTCAATAATGCGCGCTCTTGGCAAAACGGAGAGTCCATATGCGCTGACAACTGCCTTGACAAGGGACCACGACTTTGGCACATGGATGTCGAAACCAACGTCATAAGCATGTATCCTGTATGTCTGATACGCGATAAAAATGTCAGTTAGCAATGCACATACTTTAAGAAACACCTGTCATTGTTTCTTTGCCGGGCTGGTAGCTGGAAGGTCCTACGATGGGGCATATCAATAGACATTTTCTTGGTTTTCCTCCGTATTCAAGCACATGCTTAGATGGTTCTTCTTCATATGTAGTCTACCCGACTTAAATTCATCAAAATTAAACCCGAAAAGCTTCATCTTGTCGGAGAACATGTCGCCTCCATCTTCAGGGGTCCAAATATAAGTCACGTTAACTTTCAACGGACGACAAGGCCGTCAAATCCCAGAAGATAGAATTATTCATAACCAGCGTTGCAATAATCTAAAATTATGTAATATTAAACCGATATACTGTAAAGGCCACTGAATTCTTTCCCCAATTATAAAGTTCACCATCAATTCATAAACAAATAATGCTTCAAATGGTTAACAGTAGATTAAAAATTCTTGCCAGCACGTTTAGCATCAGAAAAAAAAAATCTGCTGTAGTTACTGTGATTAAGATCGTGTATTGTGTTAGTCCCGGAACTAAAGAATACCATTCTTTAGAGACAAACTCGTTACTTGGCCTTCAATATGGGCAAACCTACACGAAACCATATGCGACAGGATAACCCACTTCCAGGACCCCTCACACTCTACACAGCCTGTGTATGTGTGTACGTATGTATGTATGTATTATGTTTGTGGAATGGCTCATAAAGAACAGACAGGTGACTTTTACCTTTAGGGCAAAACAAAAAGAAAACTGCACAATCATCTCCCACCTTCCCCACTTTTCAAATTCTATTCATATCCATAAAGTGAGCTGTGAGTGATTTGGGAGGAGGGGAAGAGGAGGAAAAGTTAAGCACTATTGGCACGTCATGCCAAAAGTTTATAAAATATCCCTTAACAAAGACCCATTCGTCATAATTGGCACCTTCGAAATTCTACATGTCACAATATGTCCCCAAATTTTGTCATAGTAAAATGGTTTGAGAAGAAAGCGGATTTGTGTGTACTAGGTTAGCTTTATACTACTGTTCATTAAAGTAGGTTCTGCGCGGAATTCCTTAAGGACGACAACCAAAAATTCAAATACATTATGTATGTCAAGTATACACTTCATCCAGGTCAAGTGCTTGTTATACTGCTGAGTACGACAGCAAGTATAGGGCCTACTGCTAAACAATTACACTGTTCAAACTTTGGGTTTGAGACTGCCTATCAGTGACATCAAACAATGGCATTGTGGGTTCGAATTCCACTTGGCGCATGGGCGGTTGTCTGCACTTTCTCTGTTCGTGTCACCCTGTGTATATGCCTTAGAACTGGCTTATCTCACATCCAGGAAGTCCTTTAAAAATGTCTAAAAAAGAATTGATGATATCAGAAATTCGTTCTGAATTGGAACAGGGGGGGGGGGGGCCTTAGTCTGTAAGCCGAAGAAGGTAAGGATTACTATCTTCTTGGGTGTGACGACGTATGGTCCGGTAGAAACTCATTGACGTTTTAGAGGAGCGGGGTATATCTGTCTCCAGGGTTGAAATGAAGCCGAGCATGTAAAAAAGATAATTTCTGCTTCTGTTTAGTTTCCTATCCCGAAGATGGAGGCAGTATTTTCCTCCGAAAAATCGGTAAATTTCTACCGGACTGATTTCTTTTTAAGTTGGTTACTTAATGACGCTCTCAGTGGCGAGACTATATACCGTCGATAGTGGGCCGACAAGTGAATGATGAATTGATGGGATTTGGAAGGAAATGGTCTGATCTGATCGAGACATAACTATGTAATTTTAGAGCGGGACAGAGAATAACCACGAAACACTTCAGTCATGATAGCCGATGTCCTGAACGAGATTCGAACATAGAATATCCCGAATACAAGTCGACAGCTTTGCTGATACTTCAGTCCCCTTGGTTGGACAGATAATCTTATAAAGCTCAGAAGTTACTATGGAGGGGCTCAAACATACATGCATACTTCAACCTGCAAATTTTTTATGTATCTGTTTAAATAATTCACTGATAACCACAATTTGGTACATACAGAAAGGGATAGCTGCGACATATGGCGAGCTAGAAGTGTTCGGAGTGGCCACCATCAGCTTACAGACAATACCGAGACCGGCAGATTAGTTCACGTGTCCACTGTCATATTGCCACAAGACGTTCCAAATTTTCCCCGTAAAGTTTGCAGTGTCGGTGGCTTTCTACGATGTACCACATCCACATGGCCCTCCCCATAAATAAAGGTCGAAGGGGTTTAAATAAGATGAGCGTGGAGCTACCCACTGACCTGATAGGTTTTCATCGAGGTGGCATCTGACCTCTCGGTGGTAGTGTGGTGGTGGGCCATCTTGCTGAAAGTAAAATGGCTCATTCCCATATGCACATTATTTTGCGAACTTCTGTGGTGATCGTGTAAACTGTGCCAACACATAGAAGAAGAGGCGGGACTCGTTGCTATCCAAGGCTTCCTAGATCTTTGCTTGTGCACATGCGCTGTACCATCGGGCTCAATTCTATCGCGAACGCGTGCAATTTTTAATCGTGTTGGAGGTTCCATTTCAAATTCACGTCGACACTGTCTTTGTATTTCGCATACATTTTCAAATTTCCAGTACCACTTCGACAACAACAATTGTTTCTCCGCCATTTTCTTTGATTATCCTGCCGTTCGATAAGATGGCTCTGGCATTCATGTGATTAGTGCCAGCTTTTCAGGGAATATCGCACTACACATAGTATGACATATTTCTCTTAAACTTTGAAAGTATCTGTAGATAACCTCTACTAATTTCGTATACAATTTTTGTGGCCCTCTATCCGCTAAAGTTGGCACTAACTTCGCCGACAAGCGTTGGTCGCTCGATCGTATGATTCTCACAATAAACAGCGATTGTTTCCCTAAACAGCATTAACCGGTTGGGCTTTGTAGTGGAGACGTAATGTTTCCTGTGAGGTACGGACTGAATTCTTATATATTATTCAGAGAGATTTCTGCTTTTAAAGCGCCTCTGTGTCCCATAAAACTCGTGTATTATCCTCATTGGTTAAATAACTATTAACTTCTTTAGATGGGTTTTGCTCCAAGCAGTGATTTATCATTCTTTATGATCTAAGAAGTATATAATAAACTGAGGCACATATTTCTCGCCTCTCAGAGCTACTATAGGCTCTGAAATTACATCACCGGAGCGGGCTAACGTTAAGAGACACCTCTAGACTTCCATTCTAGGGGTGCTGATTTGGATGTTGGGACGAACACCGGATGTCCTGAGGTTTTTCTTGGTTCTCCTCAGTCCTTCCAGGATACTATCGCGATTAGGACACGATCGCTTACTTCCAAATCCTTTCCAATTCGTCATTCATTACATATTCTACCATTTGATTCCATATAATTTAGACATACAGTATAACCTACAAGCACCGATATACGGATATTCAAACATGTGCACACTCACGTACTCATAATATCGTGAGGAGCCCATCCTCCGCATAGACGAGTCATGCGGGGCGCACAGCTCGCTGCAGACCTCACAGCCTTGCGGTAGCATCGCTGAGAATCGCGGATGGAAGGTCAAGAGGCAAGGTCAAACTCGAGACACAATTTATGGAGAATAAGGAGAATGGGAGAGAGATGGAATGAAAGATCACACGGCGAACAGAGATAAAATATACGGTAAAGAGATGGTTTGTCGTTAGGGGGACGGGATATGGTATTACAGCGCAGTGGGGGAGGAGGAGATGATGCTCCTCCAATACAATTCTATATAAATGTGCTGAGTTGTTTCGGCAAAAGTATAGTAGTGCGGAAGAGCTGATCTCAGCCTGTGTTGGTCATACTGTGCCTTGTGCCTAATAGAAAAGTGTCTTCTCATAAGCATGACTTCGAGAAGAATATCTGTGTTTTCGTTGGCGACGCTCATCATCATGGCAGGCGTCGTCAGGCCTGAAGACGACGTTAAAATAAATATAAGTGGCAACGATTCTGTCGCCTCAGGACTCCGGTTTTTCGTAAGGTTGTATGACGATTGCAGTAAAAAGGACGGTCTATCACCGTGTTTAAAAATGAAGGCGATTACATTTCTTGATCGTGCGATGAGGACTCTAGAAATTCCACTGACGGAGTCGCTGGTTCTTGTTCAGACTGGTGCAGCTACAGAGAAAAGTTCTGTCCCTCGGGACCAGCAGCAGGAACCTGTTGGTAGATCCCTGACGGAGACAGAACTTGAAGCTTCGTTGCCGGTTGATAGCTACGAGGCAAAGGATTTGCAGCTCAATAAAATTCTTCTCGACAGGGTTGCGCGTTTCTTCAATATTTACAAAGTTCAAATCGCCTTCCCGAAAATGGACACTTCAGACTTGAAGAGGAGTCTTGAAGAAGGTGTGTATCACCCAGTTTTACCGACAAAATTTTTTAATTATATATATAAATAATTTTTGATTCCGATAATTGACATGTATACAAAGCGCATCCAGACCAGCTTTTTGTTTCCAAAATATAGCATAACAAAATTTTAGTTTTTCAACAATAAGTAGGAAATAAACAGTTTTTTACTAAACCAAGCTTGCTGATCACAAAAATGGCAATCAATACATTGAAATGTATACAGCTTTTAGTTTTAATTGTTTACTTAAATGACAATATGATTTTCTAATGAAACATAACTTTTTTCATATTATCGCTGGCAAAAAATAACGCCAAGAATAAAACACAAAAATTGAAAAGAAAACGCGCTGTTCTGGCTAAAATTTCAATAGGCAGAAACGGGATGTGATGAAAAAAAAAGTCCAGATATGGAATCAGCATATCAGCATTAATATAAAAAGTTAAGTTTATTTTATGTTACTAGAATCTTCTTGCCTTCTGAAACACATATTGCCAGTTTTAGGGTAAAGCTTCCAGTGATTTTTATATTTGTCATGAAAAGTTAAAACAGTTCCGTCTAGTGTCACTGGTGAAGATTTATCTTACTTCACTTACGTATGCTCTTACATGTTTCGGTCTTCAGAGTCCTTCGACAATCTTTTGACACAATATTATTATGTCATTTATGAGTGTAAAGATATTTAATTCGCGGGCTCACAATGTCTCTATTACTAATTACAGAATATTTAAAACTGCGACATTCGGATTTTCATTAAAGTTCACAAAAAGCAAAAAAGAAATAAAGTTATTCCTGTAACAGGCCGTGGAGGCCCATACGGTTGTGAGATGTTGAGGTTCCTACATTGTCTCTAGACAATCGGCTCATAGATGGCGGTGAGGTTGTTAGCCTTACGCACCGGCCGCCCTTTACCCCCAGGAAGATTCCTGCTACTCATTTCTATTAGAGGCTGAGTCGACACCAGGGCCATAGTGCGGCTGGAAGGATTAGGTAAATTGAAAAATTACATCATCGGGATTCGATCCCGTGACTTTCCAGCTTGTAGCATAATGCCTCAAATACCAATTTCAATGAAAAATAATCAAGTGGTCCATAAGTTTAACGGCAGAGGACACAGGCACACAGAGGCGGCATTTTGGCGGTAGCGTAGTTGGTTGAGGCGCTATGCTACAAGCCGGAAGTTCGCGGGTTCAAGTCCCGATGGGGTCATTGGATTTTTTCAGTTGACCTAATCCTTCCGGCCGCACTATGGCCCTGGGGTTGAATCAGCCTCTAACAGAAATGAGTACCAGGAATTAATTAAATAATTTTCCTGGGGAGTAAAGCGCGGCCGGCGCGTAAAGCTGACAACCTTACCGCTATCTTTGAGCCGATTGTCTAGAAAATGTGGGAGCCTCAACGTCTCACAACCTTATGGGCCTTCACGGCCTGGTACAGGGATAGCTTTACTTATTTACTTAAACATTCTTTCTTTCATAAGAAAGAAACGCAGGACTGAGAATGTTGCGAGTACAAAGCGAACCAAGTGCAATAAAACAAAAGAGTAATGACTGCACTGGTGACAAGATAGTGATATGAGTGGACATGAAGAACTGGAAGACTATGTAAGGAACGTCCTATGCCGGCGATTTCAATAGTTGGAATATACAGAGCCAAATGGGGGGAAGTCAGGTGAATGCTGAAATTGGATGGATCAAGAAGGAAGCGGTCGTGGCCTAATCGAGGTACTATCACGGCATTTGCCTGGAAAGACTTAGGATAACCATGAATACTTTGGTCAGGTTAGATGCATAGGCAGAGAGTAGAACCGGTCTCTTCTAGAATAAAAATTATGCCGCTTAATTTAATAAAATATTAGAGGAGAAAATTCGTAGCCGGGACATCTCAGTCGGTGTAACAACTACGCTACGGGTTAGACAGCAGAGGTATCGAGGTTTGATTCCCGTAAGGGAAAGATAATTTTCTCCGGATAAATTCTGGGGCCTATCCATTATTCCATGTGAACCGGAGTGCTATTTCAACATGGATAAAGCTGTCGGAGCTTGAAGGCAACTATTCACCTCCATCTTGTTCTGAATTTAAGAACGCGTGGAGCTATATCTCCACTTCCAGATATGCCTCAATGGCGCGGTGCTTGAGTAATTAAGCACAAATTTAGCTTTACGCTTGTTACAGGAATATTGTGAGCCATGAATTTTGTCATTATTCCTAATTTCCATCCATATTTTTCTTATGAAACAAGAATAGGCCTGAAAATATGGAAGGAACAACCGGATGCGCCATGTTTAAGTCACGACCAGGCATCATGGCTGCCGTGAGTATCGCTGGCGGATATGGGTTCAAGTGCACGTTGAAACAGGTTGACTCCTCAAAGCACTCGTCTGTTTGTGCGTCTGAGCAGAATCAATTACATTCTCTTTAAAAGCAACTCTTGTCAGACTGTTTGCAGGGATTATTATTCATCTTGTGTTTACTAATGTCTTTGCCCCCAATGCATAATTGCAGTGTCATGTCCATCAGTCTGCCAATATGATTTATATCCTTAACAACGTAACTGATTACTAAAAAAAATAGGTACTTTAAGTCTATAACTTTAGACTGTTATTAGATCCACATTGGTGCACCGAGATAATTGGCACAAGCGGTGGTAATATTTTGGTCATTATCCGTCGTTTTATTTTATAAAGAACTTTTCGGAGACAGGACTGTGTCTCCGTCCTGAGCTAAAAGCCTGTTCAGAGCCCACTCGATAGAATTGAACTGTATCTCCGGACGGAGACAGGACTGTGTCTCCGTCCTGAGCTAAAAGCCTGTTCAGAGCCCACTCGATAGAGTTGAACTGTATCTCCGGACGGAGACAGAACTGTGTCTCCGTCCTGAGCTAAAAGCCTGTTCAGGGCCCACTCGATAGAGTTGAACTGTATCTCCGGACGGAGAGGGGACTGTGTCTCCGAAACGTTCTTTTTGAAATAAAAGACAAAACGATGAATAATATCTAAATGTTAACAGATGTATTAATATGCAGCTGTCACGGATTTTTTGGTAGAATTTATGATTTGTATTCAAGGAGGTGCCGATTCGAAATTCGATCGAGAAACCAATTATCCTCATTAAGTATCATAATTGTTTTCTTCGGTCTCTAGAGACAAATTCCAAGATAAATTAATCTACGTCGCTTACTCTAATATCCCTCCCAATTCAATATTCAATATCATTCAATCGTTCGAAGTTATACAATCGTGTTACTTGCAGCGCCATTTAATAAATAAAATACGAATAAAAACAAACTATCTCAGTCCATAGTCACATATTTTTCATGGATTTCAAATATAATTAACTTATTTATTGGGTGACGTGTTTTTAAAGGCACGACCTTATTGCTCTAATATCCCTCCCAATTCAATATTCATTATCATTCAATCGTTCGAAGTTATACAATCGTGTTACTTGCAGCGCCATTTAATAAATAAAATACGAATAAAAACAAACTATCTCAGTCCATAGTCACATATTTTTCATGGATTTCAAATATAATTAACTTATTTATTGGGTGACGTGTTTTTAAAGGCACGACCTCATTGCAGGGGGTGTATATCTATCAATCTCTCTTTGCACCCCATAAATTTTATGTTTGTCCCTCCAGAAGATATCAGAAGAGTTGATTAGCTTACAAAATGTGATGTTACGACGTGTAATATGGCAGAAGTATGCCGACGTTTCGGTGTTAATTTACTGACTCCATATTTAGGGTCTGATACGACAGAAATATCTAACCTTAATAATTTCAACCATTTCACCTGTGGACGGAAACAGATCCAGTTTCCGAAACGTCATATGTTCAGAATACCATTTAATGGTTAATTCCATAATTGCAGTAATCCAAACTTAACAACTGTGATCAGAACGATTGACAATTTCACTGTACTTGAAGACTATTTATAATTGAAGACTGCCATATACGAGACTAACTTAAATACCAACACAGAAGTTCGAACCAGGAAACTTCATAATACAAATCAACCAAAATACCGTCTGTATTAAGCTTCTTAGAGAGTCAGGATAGTTCAGTCGGTACAGCTACTACCTACTTGACGGCCGAGGAATCGATATTCGATTCCCGGCAGGGGAAAGATAAATTTATCTTCTCCATAGCGTTTAGACTGGCTCTGGTGTCTATCCAACCTCCTATCCAATGAGTAAGGGGACTTTTTCCTTTGGGTTAATGCGGGTGGAGCATAAAGCTGACCACACACCCCAGTCTACTACCGAGAATACCTGTTTCCCCACAGGTCTTTATGACGTGGTGCTCAACTAATTAAGAAGACAACTTTACCTAATTACTTCACTAAACATTCTTTGTTACTGGAATACTTCTCAGACACAAGGAGGTCACATACTTCTTGGGTAATATTTCACGTTGCTTCTATGCCCCAAGAGATGTATGCCTGCGTCTTCTGTTTCTTTGTAAAGGGTTAATTAAACGCAAGTTAAGTTTAAAAGCTCCTTTATCATTTAAACAGTTAAACTTCCTTTTAACGGTAAATCCAAAATCAGAATGAACACAATTGCTGGTGAATTGTTTTACTTCTTGGGAATGGGCACATGAAAGCATTCTGGCGATGCTAACTTCCGGCATATTCCCATATTCTTTTCTTATAGTCTCATCATCATCATCACAGTCACCTAACTGTCTCTCTCATAATAGAAACCAAAGGTTACATCACTGAGGAACCTAAGCTTTTGTTTTGCGTCTTGGCGAGTCGCTGATTTAAACGGAGCTGATTCCATGCAGCCACACAACTGATTCATGCTTCGCTGACACACACCAAAATCGCTCCTGGAAGGGAGAAGTACTACAGAAACCCGAATTTAGACACGATCAGTAGTCAATCACACCTTCACACAAGAGCTCAATAAGAAAATAAAGCTATCCCTGCAACAGGCCGTGGAGGCCCATAGAGTTGTGAGACATCGAGGCTACCACATTTTCTGGACA